GCTCAGGCAGGTCTTGAACCCGCGGGCTCAGGCAATCCACTCACCTCAGCCTCCCAAGGCGCAGGATTACAGGCTGAGCCACCAAGCCCGGCTGGAATCTCACTCTGTCGCCCAGGCTGGAGTGCGATGACACCCTCATGCTACCGTAGCCTTGACCTGCTGGGCTCAGGTGATCCTTCTGCCTCAGCCTTCCAAGTAGCTAGAATGTTGGGTGCCATCACTATGCCTGGCTAATTTTTATTTATTTATTTATTGTAAAGATGAGGTTTTGCCATGTTTCTAGGCTGGTCTCGAACTCCTGGGCTCAGACAGTCCTCTTGCCTTGGCCTCCCAGAGTCCTGGGATTACAGATATGAGCCACCGTGCCTGGTTCTAGTTATCTTTCTAAAGATTTTACATACAGTATAGTAGGCAACCAGTAGCATTTATTCTTAGGAACAGAATGTTTAACTATACAAGCAATTTTGCTTTGAATATATTAAACCTTATACAGTATATGCAGTGAAAATCTTGATGTGTATTTCCTAGATTTTTTAAACTTAAAAAATTTGCTTGTAGTATGTGCATATATAAATATTTCTGTGTCACTTTGTTAGTGGAGCTCTTTTAGTTACACTGCTTACTGATTATCATAGGTTTAATGAACACTGTTTATAGATCACAGGTATTTAACTCTTGTGTTGCTGGTAAGGATGATAAAAGTTGGGACTGGGCACAGTGGTTCATGCTTGCAATCCTAGCACTTTGGGAAGCCGAGGTGAGAGGATTGCTTGAGCCCACGGGTTCGAGACCAACTTGAGCAACTTGGTGAGACCTCATCTCTACAATAAATCTAAAAACTAGCCGGGCGTGGTGGCACATGCCTGTAGTTCCAGCTATTTGGAAGGCTGAGGTGAAAGGATCACCTGAGCCTAGCAGGTTGGGACTGCAGTGGCCGTGAGTGTGCTACTACACTCCAGCCTGGACACAGAGTAAGACTCCAATTCAAAAATAATAATAATAAAAGTTAAGGCGGTGTAAGCTAGAGACTAATGTATATAATTATTGAACAGATTGCTGTTAGGAAGAATTAAGAATTGTTTATTTAAATCAACATATGATTGTTTATTTAAATCAACATATGATGAACTGGCAATCGCCTCCTACACTCTGCACCCCTCCTCCACTCCTGCCTCTCAGCGTATTCAAGTTGCTGTAAATCTCTTCTGTTAGTGTGACTTTCATTTAAAAGCTACATTTGACTGGGCATGGTGGCTCACACCTATAATTGCAGCACTTTGGGAAGCTGAGGTGGGAGAATCAACTTGAGACTAGTCGGCAGCATAGTGAGAACTCCTGTATCTACAAAAAGAAAAATACAAAAATTAGCCGGGCATAGTGGTGCATGCCTTCAGTTCCAGCTACTTGGGGAGGCTGAGGTAGAGGTATTGCTTGAGCCCAGAGGTTGAGGCTACAGTAAGCTGAGATTGCACCAGTGCATCCAGCAAGCCTGGACAACAGGGTGAGACCCTGTTTCAAAAAAAAAGCTAAATTAAGATGAAATAAATTAAAATACCTTATTAGAATTCTAACTGACATGAAGCAAAACATTTTTGGTATTGAAAATTTTAAATGTTTGTTTAAAACATACAAGAAGGAACCAGGTATGGTGATTCATGCCTGTCATTCCAGTACTTCGGGAGGCAGAAGCAGAAGGATCACTTGAGCCCAGGAGTTGGAGACCAGCCTGGGCAACATATAGAGAGAGAGATCTCATTTCTACAAAAAATTAGGCATGGTGGCCCGCGCCTTTAGTCCCCGCCCTTAGTCCCAGCTACTTGAGAGGTTGAGGGTGTAGGATCGCTTGAGCCCAGGAGATCAAAGCTGTGGTGAGCCATGATTGGTCACTGCATTCCAGCCAGGGCAACAGAGTGAGAACTTGACTCAAGGAGAAAAAAAAACTTTGCCTTTTTTTTCTTTTCATTTTAAGGAATTAACTGTTGTGTATTTTCTGTTTTGATGGCAGTGAGACTTTTTAAAAGTTTTATAAAATGTGTCTGTGATCAACACGACATAGCAAATTCACCTAAAAAAACCCGAGTGAACACTTTAGAAAGCGTACCCTTCCTAATAAGGCATACCAGAATTTCCTCCTGTGAAGTATTCGCTTCACTTACAAAAAACTTGCATGCCTTTTTGCGCCTGCGTGTTCTAGGTGCTGGGGATAGAGCAGTGAACACAAGTGACTGTCCTTGTTGAACAGACGTGCATACAAGTGGCTGAGGCAGATGAATGAGATTTCATGGAGTAACAGTTAAGTGCTCAGGAAAATTTTTAAAATGAAACTGTGATTTCACAGCTATTATTGGAGACAAAGAATAATGTGCTTCTTCTGGTATGCCTCACTCACAGGAAACTCAACATGTCAAAACGTAACTTTGAACAGATATTCCATTCACAAGTAGGTATTAACCTTATTTAAAAGAAAAACTAAAAACTCACCCCCAGACGAACCTTGCTATAGATTTCGTACTCAAACCAGTAGACGAAATAAAAGCCTAAAACGTACGATGTAAGAGAAACATTCCTTTAGAAGAAATTGCCTGAAGTTCATTAGGAGATTACCATTAAAAATTTAGCATGTTTCTCAATGATTTACTGTGTCTTGGGGCCAGAAAACATTTTCAAGGGATTACTCTTTAAAGTTTGTAATTAAATTGATGAGTAAGTGGTTTGCTGTAATTTATAGAAAAAAAATTTTTTTTTTGAGTCAGGGTCTCATTCTGTTGCCCAGTGACACAGTCATGACTCACCATGGCCTCTAAGTCCTGAACTCAAGTTATCCTCCTTGAGTCAGCCTCCCAAGTAACTGGGACTACAGGCACACACCACACTACACCTGGCTAATTTTTTTATTTTTTGTAGAGGCGAGGTCTCGCTGTGTTGCCCAGGCTGGTCTCAAACTCCTGACCTCAAGCCATTCTCCCACCTCGGCCTCCTGAAGTGCTGGAATTACAGGTGTAAGCCACCACGCCAGCCTAGAAATGTATTTTGTTTTTATTTTTCAAGAAAATGTTGTTACAGTTCTTAGAATTAAGGACACATGAATTTGGTTTATATTGATGAGATACACACCTGCAGTTGATATTATAATAATATATAGTTACTACTGTGTTAACAGCCTCTTCATTCTCATAACATACAAAGTTATACAGCTACAGGGCCAGGTGCGATGACTCATGCCTATAATCTCAGCACTTTGGGAGGCCGAGGCGAGAGGATTGCCTGATCCCAGGAATTTGAGACCTTGGTGAGACCTTATATGTACAATTAAAGAAAAAATTTTTTTTGAGTTGGAGTCTCACTCTGTGGCCCAGGCTGCTGGAGTGCAGTGGTATGCTCATGGCTACCCAGTGTTGACCTGCTGGCTCTAGTGATCCTTCTTTCTTCCAAGTAGCTGAAACTATAAGCGCCCACTACCATGCCCGGCTAACTTTTTTTTGTTTTAGTATGGAGACCAGGTCTCACAAGTTGCCTGGGCTGGTCTCAAAACCGGCAGACTCAGGCAATCCACTTGCCTCAGACTCCCAAAGTGCTGGAATTACAGGCTGAGCCACCGAGCCCAGCCTATAATAAATAAAATTTAAAAATTAGCCTAGTGTGGTGGTGAGTACCTGTGCTCCAGCTACTTGGAAGGCTGAGGAAGAAGGATCGCCTGAGCCCAGCAGGTCGAGGCTATGGTAGCCATGAACATGTCACTGCACTTTGGCCTGGGCATCAGAGTGAGACTCTGACTCAAGATTAAAAAAAAAAAAAAGATAGTGAAAACATAGACAGCTTCAAATTGTATATTTTCCAACCCAGTGTAGATTTGGAAACATTCACTTCATTTTGCACCTTTTCTGTCTACATGCTTGTAACTACTTTTGCTGGTCTTTCATTCAAAACTCCAGTATCAACTGTGCTGCCTTCATTTTGCCTGTCTGCCTTGAGCAGTCTGTCTGTGATGCCCATTAGAACTGTAAAAGAAAGTTCTTTGGAAAGGAGCATCTTATAGATACAACCATTTCTTAATTTGGGCCCTTGTCTCATGACTTTGTATACAAGGAAGTATGATGATGTGTTTGTGTATGTGTGAGAAATAAATGTTCCTCCTTCAGCCTCAGGAACCAGGCAGCCGTGGCTTTGAACACTTAACTGAGCCACAGGAAATGAGATTAACGTCAGGTAATGAGGAATGGGCAGGAGAAAGAAGTGCGAGTGTGCTATCTGTAGTGTCCGTCCCTTAGTTCTGCAGTCCGGTGCCCCAGTTTACTTTTTTTTGACTCTTTCCTATCACAATTGCTTAGTGATATTAAGACATATTCTTGCCCTTGCAAATAACTTGGGAAACTCAAAATTTGTAATTTTCTTTCCCCCTCCTGATAGGTGCTGGATAGTTTACTAGTCCAGTATGGAGTGGTGGAGAGCTGTGAGCAAGGTACATGTCTTCTGAATTGCTTTCAAATTTGCAAAAGGAAGGAAGTAGAAAGAAAACTAACTTTTATTCTCTTCATTTTTCTCTTCTTCTAGTGAACACTGACTCGGAAACTGCAGTCGTAAATGTAACCTATTCCAGTAAGGACCAAGCTAGACAGTAAGCAGTTTGAAACTCTTTATCTATATCTAATAACTAGATTAAGTACAGCAACTTACAGTTTGTGAATTTCTCAATTGAGAAGGGCTGGGGGTGGCAGAAAGAAACTTTATTTTGCAAAAGTTTGACTCTGCATTTATGCCTTTCTTTTTAAGTTTGGATGTCTAGTGAACATCTAGTAAGAATCTGCATTGATTAAAGTTGTATTACATTTTCAGTATATCTTTAATACCAGTAATAGGGTGAGCCAAGATGAAGTTGAATTGCACCCTGTTTGCAAAATCTCTGGGCTTGGGTCTTGTTTTTACCCTTTCCTTACTGGTATGATACATACATTATTGCTATTCTTTCCAAAGCTGGTGATCATCTGTTAAGAATAGTGTTACATGTTAAGTCTTCTTGTTCAATGGTTTCTCTGATTACCGTTGTTACTTAGGAGTGTGCAGATATTAGACCAATGTAATAGGCTATTAGATTTAGGGATAAATATTCCAGTGCAGCTGACAGTTAGGCAGACTTTTCAGAATAAACAATCTCCCCCAGGAAAAGATAATTCTGTAGGCTTGGAATGATCGAATGAACTGACTGAACACTAGAGAAAGATAGTGAGGGTCCCACAAATACTGCCTTTGTTAGATCTGCTCAGAACATGAACAGGGTAGAATGGCATACGAAGTGCCCCGCAGTGCAGAGCTGAGTGACAGCTGACTCTGGAGGTCTTTACCACCTCCACACACAGTATAGGCAGAAACAGACTATGTGTCCTCTGTGTGGGAAAAGTCAAGGGAAAGACCATGAGCACTAAAGAGGAAAGTTGTCACATGAGCTGCGATGGTGAGAGTTCAGCGAGGTGACCAAGGTAGTACCCGTTCATGGAGGGACTGTGGAAGGACACACATGGGACTTTGTTCCAAAAATTGGTACTATTCACATGGTTCAAAATGTAGAAGGTCTAAAGATGCACATGGTGCATATCTTCTTCCCAGCATCATTTCCCATCTACCTTGTCCCTTGAGAGATAGCCATATGGAAGACAAATATGTGTGTACGTGTGTGTTCCTACTTTTACACAAATGATGCCATAATAACATGTGAGTGTTTTATACATAAAAATATATTTTTATAGTTGCATAGTATTGAATTGTATGACTGTGGAATGACTTATTTGGTTAATCCCAATTCGGATATTTAGGTTGTTTTCAGTCTCTTGCAGTTATGAACAATGCTCTAATGAATCTTTTTTTGTGTCATTTGTGCATGTGTGTGAGTATATCTATAGGATGAATTCCCAGAAGCAGAATTGCATTTTTAGTTTTGTTATCCTTTGTAGAACTTGAACTAGTTTAAATTCCCTTTGTGCAAGTCTGTTTCTGCCTACTCTCCCCAACACAGGACTTGATGAAACTTTGCCCATCTAGTGGATGAAAGTGTTATGTTATTTTTTTCTCATAAATGAGACTTAAGGCTTTAATATGTTTAAACACATTCTGGTTTTGTTTTTTTCTGTTTGTATCCTTTGTTCATTTAGAGAATTTTTAGCAGTTTATGTGAGGCCTTGGACATTGTTGAAGTCATGGTATGAGTTGTAAAACAAATTTGTCCTACACATTTTATCCTTTACAAAGAGCTTATTGAATAATTGGTAGAGCTAAGACCCTATTAGACGGAAAATATGGGATGACATAATAAACCCAAGGATATATAGAGATTGCTAGAGTCCTGTCCTAGTGGCCTTATTTGAAAACTTAGGTGAGGCCAGCTAGCTAAAGGGAAAACCGTTTAATTTAACAGTCACTTAGTCAAAGGGAAATAACATATATTGGAGAAATAACCTACATAGCTTTGAAGAGGCATAAAATACACAAGGTAATTGATATTTAGGCCCCCTCCTTAAAAAAAAAACAAAACATTAACAGTACAAACACAGGAAAGGTAGATTGACTAGTCAAAGCAGAATGATTGCTGAAAAGAATCATAGCATGACAGCAAGCTGAATGTGGAGACATTGCTGTTCTCAAAATTTTGGTAGTGGTTGTTAGAAATTTGCAAGATCTGGTGGGTACAGTGACTCATGCCTGCAGTCCCAGTATTCTGGGAGGCTGAGATGGTAAGATCACTTAAGCCCAGGAGTTGTAAGCTGTGATTGTCTGAGTTGCCCATTCTTTTTGTTTTTTGAGTTGGAGTCTCACTCTGTCGCCCAGACTGGAGTGCAGTGGCCGCTCCCGGCCATCGCAGCCTCGACCTGCTGGGCTCCAGCGATCCTTCCGCCTCAGCCTTCCAAGTAGTTGGAACTACAGGTGCGCGCTACCACGCCTGGCTATGAGTTGCCCATTCTTTAGATCTATTATTTTTTTCTAAATACCCAGCTGCTTTCTAATTCTAATCCATTTTTGGAATTCTTGGGGAGAAGGTGAGAATATTCTGAAAAGGCGACTTGACCTAGGCAGGAACTAAAATTGGGCTTTCCCCTTCTAAATGCTCTCCTTTCACCACTGGGAGGCACATCCCTGAGGACAAGGACTTTGCGTTTATTCACAGCCAACTTTTGGTCAGTTCGTACTCAATAAATGTTAACTGACTAAATATTAGAATAAAGGTGATGATGACTACTAATTGAAATGCCTAATGTATTTGATTAAGTTACCTAATTACTAAATTACACAGTTATTTCCTTCTTGGGATCAATGGGACCCTGGCCAAGTTTTTATATGGCTCTTGCTCTGCTGCCCAGGCATTGACCAAAAGTTGGCTGTGAATAAACGCAAAGTCCTTGTCCTCAGGGATGTGCCTCCCAGTGGTGAAAGGAGAGCATTTAGAAGGGGACCGCCTAATTTTAGTTCCTGCCTATGTCATGTCACCTTTTCAGAATATTCTCACCTTCTCCCCAAGAATTCCAAAAATGGATTAGAATTAGAAAGCAGTTGGGTATTTAGAAAAAAATAATAGATCTAAAGAACTGAGTTGCCCAACTCAGTTATGTGAAATATTGTTAGGAAAATGGTTGTCTGTTAAAGTTAGCTATTCCAAAAGAGGATACAGAGTGCATGCCATTCTGTGAGAAGATTAATTTTATTTGCGAGGTATTGGGTATAGTGAAGGAGGTAACCCTGACTCTATAACCTTGACCTCTGAGCTTTGGTTTTCTCAGCTACAAAATGAGGATTAAAGACACGTATTCATGAATATATCGAAAGGCCTGGCAAACGGGCACCCAGGAAATAGTAACTTTTGTTTGAGCTGCTGGTCCCGGCCTGCTTCTGCGGCTGCTTGAAGTGGTTGAGCCGGGCCAGGCTGGCCCTTTCAGGACTTGCCCTGCTGAGGTCTGCAAGCCTACTCTGTGGTCCAGCATGACAGCCAGATGCCTAAACCCACCTGTTGTCATTTCTCCGTGCTTTCCTTGGCAGGCCTCCCATAGTTCTCTCTTCAGGTGAGGAGGGCTACGTGAATAGTTCTCCGCTTTCTCTTCTTAGCGTCTGCTCCTTGGAGGGCTGTCTGACTGGGATATGCTTGTGAAGGTGTTAGCAGAGCTTGGAGGTTAAGAGTTCAGTTCCAGAGTCCAGTTGTATGGAAAGGACAGACCCTGGGTGTCACCGTTTTTCTTGCTATGACTTGGTCGGGCTGATCTTTCTTGGGTCACCCCATCTCCAAAATGGGAATAATGATAGTCTTTAGTCCATAAACCTATAGAGGAACTAAGATAATGCCTCTAAAACACTTCTCATAGTACCTAGAAGGTAGTAAGAGCTCAAATGTAAGCAGCTAGTGCGCATTTTTCCAACACAATTGATTGCTGCTGAGAATACTGTGTTATTGTTTGGTTTACTGCATTTCAGAGAATGACTGACCACTGATGCTTAGGAGCTCGGGACCTAGTTTTTTAAAAGTGTTTGTAGAAGCCTGTGTTACTTAAAGTTCTGTGGATACCTCCAGTATGGCTTATCTCTAAGACAGAATTTAACATGGCAATTCCTGCCACCTTGTGGCTAAGATAAATCAAAGGTAAATAAAGCACACGTATTATAGGAAATACATGTGTTTGTTTTAGGCTTAAGTCCAGAATTAACAAATTATTAAAATAATGAAAGTAATAAAAGCTTAAATTACATTAATATATGTTATATTAAATATAAATATAATAGTTTGTTTCATTTGAAATAGAATTGTATTTACTGAATGCATGCACCTTTTCTTGTTCCTTGGAGCAAGAGAGGCTCACTATTTCTTTCTCTCTTCCGGGGATGCTGAGATAAAATGGTCCAGGACAGACCTAACTCGTTGGATTTGTCATGTGTGACAAAAAATAGCCCCGTAGAATGTGCAGACATTTTGTTCGTTTCTCTCTCTCTCTCTCTCTCTCTTTTTTTTTTTTGCTAGAGGTGGGGTCTCACTGTATTGCCCAGTCTGGTCTCAAACTCCTGGCCTCAGGCAATCCTCTGGCCTTGGCCTCCCAAAGTGCTGGGATTACAGGCTGAGTCAACCAAGCCTGTCTGGGAAGAAAATGTCTACTTAAACTTTAAAAGTTATGTAAATTGAAGATTTACTACTGAAGAAGAAATAAAGCAGCAAGACAAAGAAATTTCTTGCTATTTTGCCATTCAGAGGTAGCTACTGTTAAATTTACCATAGTTGTGTAAACTTGGTTCCATGCATCATAACTTTGAAAATTACAAGAATGGTTCTACAGAGTTTTGTAGGTTTTTCCTTTCATTAAATATATTTCTACTACTGTAATAAATATGATCTCAGCCAAGCTCGGTGGCTCAGCCTGTAATCCCGTGCCTTTGGGAGGCTGAGGTGAGTAGATTGCCTGAGCCCGTGGGTTCGAGACCCACCTGGGCAACTTGGCGAGACCTCATCTCTACATAAAAAAAAAAAAAAAAATCAAAAAGTAGCCAAATGTGGTGATGCACGCCTGTAGTTCCAGCTACTTGGAAGGCTGAGGCAGAAGGATCACCAGAGCCCAGCAGGTCAAGGCTGCGGTGGCCAGGAGCAGCCACTGC